GAGTCTCAAGCAGGGAGAAGACCTTAGTTGCAGTATGCGGCTGAGTCAGCCGAGCATTACGGCAATCCGGAAGTGACGTCACCGTGACCAAGGTGAGGGCGGAAGTCTTGATAAAGGGCATTCACGTGAAATGCGTTGTCACGGTTACCAGCTCTGTTTACGTTCCAAGGCCAGGATCCAGCTTCCGCCCTCACCTTTGTCGCGGTGACGACACTTCCGGATCGCCACGATCCTCGGCTGAGTCAGCTGTATACTGCAACAGAGTTCTCCCTGCCTGAGACCGCACCATCCTGGTTGCCACTTTTTCATGTCATTCATTTATGATTTACTATACACCAATTAAAGGTATACCTCCTTGGGAGGTGAATATTACTCAGTCATATTCTTACAGCACTGTTTTCTTGGATTAATATGCTTCACTTCCTTTAGTGTTCAACAGCAGCAGTAAGTAGTGACCCCTTAAAGTGGATTATTTGCGCTTGACTTTCTGACTTATGTCTAAATTGGGTGCCTGCTCTAACATCTAGTTTCCCTCTAAAAAAATGTGTATTGATCATATGTGTGAAAGTTTGGAAAGGTGTAAGAGTTGCCCCAATGCCCACAGTAGACCAAGGTGACTTAAATATAGAAGTGTTCAAGTGTGAATTCCCACCTCAAGTAATCTCTTCTGAACTCAGATTATGTTCTGCCTCCAGGGCTTTTGTTTGTTCTCTATTTATCTCTGTTGCCCTGCATAATATTAATTTCTGTTAGGGATTTTCTTATCTGTACTTTATGTGATTTATTTGACTTTTATGACTGGGTTTGTCTGTATTAGCTATCACCATCTTATGTTCCTTATAAGGTGTCATTTATTCTGAACTTTATAAAATTAAGAATGTATTTTAGTTTCTCACAATGAAAATCTATCAAAGGTCAATCCTGTCAAATGTTACATTTCATGCAAAGCAAGATAGTTCATTTTAGTTTCTCACAATGAAAATCTATCAAAAGGTCAATCCTGTCAAATGTTACATTTCATGCAAAGCAAGATAGTTCAAGCCGTGATTTGTCATAATTGTGATGATTATGGCTTACAGCTCATGAAAACCCCAAATCCACAATCTCAGAAAATTAGAATATTGTGAAAAGGTGCAATATTCTAGGCTCAAAGTGTCCCACTCTAATTAGCTAATTAAGCCGTAACACCTGCAAAGGGTTCCTGAGCCTTTAAATGGTCTCTGTCTGGTTCAGTAGGAATCACAATCATGGGAAAGGCTGCTGACCTGACTGTTATGCAGAAAACCATCATTGACACCCTCCATAAGGAGGGAAAGCCTCAAAGGTAAATGCAAAAAAAGTTTTATGTTCCCAAAGTGCTGTATAAAAGCACATTAATAGAAAGTTATGTGGAAGGGAAAAGTGTGGAAGAAAAAGGTGCACAAGCAGCAGGGATGACCGCAGCCTGGAGAGGATTGTCAGGAAAAGGCCATTCAAAAGTGTTGGGGACTTTCACAAGGAATGGACTGAGGCTGGAGTCAGTGCATCAAGAGCCACCACACACAGAAGGATCCTGGACATTGGCTTCAAATGTCGTTTTCCTCTTGTCAAGCCACTCCTAAACAACAAACAACATCAGATGCGTCTTACCTGGGCTAAGAAAAACAGACCTGGTCTGTTGCTCAGTGGTCCAAAGTCCTATTTTCTGATGAGAACAACTTTTGCATCTCATTTGGAAACCAAGGACCCAGAGTATGGAGGAAGAATGGAGAGGCACACACTGCAAGATGCTTGAAGTCCAGTGTGAACTTTCTACAGACTGTGTTGATTTGGGAAGCCATGTCATCTGCTGGTGTTGGTCCACTGTGCTTCATTAAGTCTAGGGTCAACGCAGCCGTCTACCGGGAGATTTTGGAGCACTTCATGCTTCCTTCTGCAGACAAGCTTTATGGGATGCTGACTTCATTTTCCAGCAGGACTTGGCACCTGCCCACACTGCAAAAGCACCAAAACCTGGTTCAATGACCGTGAGATTACTGTGCTTGATTGGCCAGCAAACTCGCCTGACCTGAACCCCATAGAGAATCTATGGGGCATTGCCAAGAGAACGATGAGAGACATGAGACCGAACAATGCAGAAGAGCTGAAGGCCGCTATTGAAGCATCCTGGTCTTCCATAACACCTCAGCAGTGCCACAGGCTGATAGCTTCCATGCCATGCCGCATTGAGGCAGTAATTGCTGCAAAAGGGGCCTAAACCAAGTACTGAGTACATATGCATGCTTATACTTTTCAGAGGTCCGATATTGTTCTATGTACAATCCTTGTTTTATTGATTGCATGTAATATTCTAATTTTCTGAGATTGTGGATTTGGGGTTTTCATGAGCTGTACACCATAATCATCACAATTATGACAAATCATGGATTGAACTATCTTGCTTTGCATGTAATGAGTCTATCTCATATATTAGTTTCATCTTTTAAGTTTCATTACTGAAATAAATGAACTTTTGCACGATATTCTAATTTTTTGAGTTTCACTGTGTGTGTGTGTGTGTGTGTGTGTGTGTGTGTGTGTGTGTGTATATATATATATATCCTCTATGTACATAAATAATATTTTAATCTTTACATATAAAACTAAAACTCTCAACAGTTAAGGTTTTACATTTAAAATACTAGAATACAAGTAATTAGGAATAACATATCTACCCTTCAAGGCATTTATACAGTTTTAACAAAGTCCAATAATAAATAATCATTCCCTTTAACAAACTAGTTACTTCAGTTTCCAAGTAAACTCAAAATAGTCAGGACTTATCTTAGAGTGACACTCAGTGGCAAAATGGTGGTAATAACAAAAAAAAAATGTTGGCTGGGTTATTAGAAAAATTTACCAATAAGAAGAAGGTTCTACCTTCCAGGCCACCTTCTGGGATGGTTTATTTACATTTTATGAATGTATTGTGTGCCAATAGATAAAAGCGGAAGTCAGGTAGAGAGAAGATAAGACTGCACCCATCTGACTCCATCTGCCCATCCAGGAGACTGCATATCTGATCATACTCAGGACTCACAATTCCAGCCTGTCTAGATGCCATTTTGTGAGAGCTTAACTCTACTCATCAATCAGCAGTCATCTTTGGTTTATCTGATACATGCAGGGTTTTTTTTCTCAGGCGATATTGGCATACAGTGTTGTGTAGTTTGATGCCTATTCCTTCTGCATTGGAACAACAATTGAAACACACAGACTTTGTATGATAATTAGTTATTATTGGCTATTTAAATTAATTATAAACTTATTCATTATATACTGTATATATCATCTTTGGTCAGAAAAGTTTGGTACTGTTATGCAAATTATCTGGGTGTCTATATGCATCACAATTAGACTATTATATAATGTGTTTGTATGTGACTTATTGTAAATAAATATTAATGTATGTAGTAATTTTCAGTCCATCTTACACTGATCAAATTTGTGTTTTTAAAAATGAATTTTGTTTGGCTCAAAATTAACTCAGAATTTTTAATTAAGTTAGTTAAATTAGTTTTATAAATTATCTTTATATTGGGAGGCACTGTTAGCTGACTAAATTAATTGTCCAGGTGTTTCCTGGCATTATACAAGTATAATTTTTTTGTGCTGAAAGCCTTGTGTCAAGAACTACTGGTGTATACATACACTGTGCTTTACATCCAGTATCACTAGCCCATATAATTTACCCACAGATGAGTTCTTTTCAAAGTTTAATTACCATCAAGCAAAACATTTCCCATGTATCAGGTAGGATACAGGTCTATATTCTTAAACTTGAAAAGTGGCTGCTTCTTTTTCTATGCATTTCATGGATGATTAAGCTGTCCCAGGAAAAATTAGTCACCAATGTTTCTTTATACAAGTAATACCTAATATCTTAGTAATATTATATATTTTTTTAATTATTCTAGGTAACATCTTAACTCCTGATAGTCAAGATGTACTGATCATGTTCTTGTATATTTTGCAACTTACTTGCTACTACTATTTACAACTAGTTCATTTGTTATATTTGTATTAGTTCTAAAAATGAAAAGATTAGAATTTGTGAAGAAACATAGCCCAAACAGTTTGACTTTTTTTTCTTTGTTTTGTTTTCTCACAGTTTTAAATAGCTCCCCTCTCCTCCCTGCATTAACAGTCTGTATATTTATATGTTAATCTAAAATGCAGGTGCTTACACATTTTGCTGCCCAACCTGAGGTGACACCCTCTATTGTACCTAGATAGTTTTAGAAATTTCTTTCTGTCATCACTATGCTATTGTCCCACATTAATTAAATTACAATGTATTCCACACCTTTGTCAGGGGGGTTGTTTAACTATTGGAAAGAAAACTTTTATTTGGAGTCCTGCAATTTCTATAATATGTACCACAGATGTATTCCAATTTCCAACTATATTAATAGGCTATTAATATTTTTTTACTAATTATATAAAAAAGTCCACCACACCCTTATATAATGAGATAAAGAAAGGATCAGCCTAAAGTATAAAGTTATCTCATACCATTACCAACAAAGTTATCACTACCAAAAGGCATATTTTCATGTTTTCTTTGAGAGCTCTGTAATATTTAGAGTAAACAGAAGCCACCACTATTTTGTTAGTCCAAGACAAGTGGAACAGATATAAGAGAAATATAAAATTCTAAATAGATGTATGTTGCCTTTTGACTTCATCGCTATATGACAGCTATACAAACTATATATATAAAAAAAAAAAAAACTATGTTTGTTTTGAAAGTAAAAATGTATACAAGGTTTAGGAGTGTCTATGGGAATGTTTGACCATTTTTCCAGAAGCGCATTTGTGAGGTCAGGCACTAATGTTGTATGGGAAAACCTGCTTCTCAGTCTCTGTTCTAATTCATCGCAAAGGTGTTCTATCGGGTTGAGGTCAGGACTCTGTGCAGGCCAGTCAAGTTCCTCCACCCCAGGCTCGCTCATCCATATCTTTATGGATCTTGCTTTGTGCACTGGTGCTTAGTCATGTTGGAACAGGAAGGGGACATCCCCAAACTGTTCCCACAAAGTTGGGAACATGAAATTGTCACGCCTTAAGAGTTCCCTTCACTGGAACTAGGGTGCCAAGCCCAACCCCTGAAAAGCAACTCCACACCATAATCCCCCCTCCACCAAACTTTACACTTGTCACAATGTAGTCAGGCAAGTACTATTCTCCTGGCAACCGCCAAACCCAGGCACGTCCATTGGATTGCCAGACAGAGAGTGATTCATCACTCCAGAGAACAGGTCTCCACTGCTCTAGAGTCCAGTGGTGGCATGCTTTACACAACTGCATCCGACACTTTGCATTGCACTTAGTGATGTAAGGCTTGGATGCAGCTGCTCGGCCATGGAAACCCATTCCATGAAGCTCTCTATGGACTGTTGTGCTAATCTGAAGGCCACACAAACCTTGGAGGTCTTTAGCTATTGCCTTTGCAGACAGTTGGTGACTTCTGCGTACTGTACGCTTCACCATGTGCTGCCCCCGCTCTAGCATTTTCCGTGGCCTACCACTTAGTGGCTGAGTTGCTGTTGTTCCCAGTTGCTTCCACTTTCTTATAATACCACTAACAGTTGACTGTGGAATATTTAGTAGCAAGGAAATTTCACAGATGGACTTATTGCACAGGTGGCAACCTGTCACTGTACCACACTTGAATTTACTGAGCTCCTGAGAGTGACCCATTCTTTCACAAATGTTTGTAGAAGCAGTCTGCATGCCTAGGGGCTTGATTCTATACACCTGTGGCCATGGAGGTGATTGGAACACCTGAATCCAATGATTTGGAGGGGTGTCCCGATACTTTTAGCAATATACAGGTGAAACTCCAAAAATTAGAATATTGTGCAAAAGTTCATTTATTTCAGTAATGCAACTTAAAAAGTGAAACTAATATATGAGATAGACTCATTACTGCAAAGATAGATCAAGTGCCAAGTCCTGCTGGAAAATGAAGTCAGCATCCCCATAATGCTCATCTGCGGAAGGAAGCATGAAGTGCTCCAAAATCTCCTGGTAGACGGCTGCATTGACCCTGGAGTTAATGAAGCACAGTGGACCAACACCAGCAGATGACAGGGATCCCCAAATCAACACAGACTGTGGAAACTTCACACTGGACTTCAAGCATCTTGCAGTGTGTGCCTCTCCATTCTTTCTCCATACTCTGGGTCCTTGGTTTCCAAATGAGATGCAAAAGTTGCTCTCATCAGAAAATAGGACTTTGGACCACTGAGCAACAGACCAGGTCTATTTTTCTTTAGCCCAGGTAAGACGCTTCTGATGTTGTTTGTTGTTCTTGTTCAGGAGCGGCTTGACAAGAGGAATACGACATTTGAAGCCCATGTCCAGGATCCGTCTGTGTGTGGTGGCTCTTGATGCACTGACTCCAGCCTAAGTCCACTCCTTGTGAAAGTCCCCAACACTTTTGAATGACCTTTTCCCGACAATCTTCTCCAGGCTGCAGTCATCCCTGCTGCTTGTGCACCTTTTTCTTCCACACTTTTTCCTTCCACATAACTTTCTATTAATGTGCTTTTATACAGCACTTTGGGAACATCCAACTTCTTTTGCAATTACCTCTTGAGGCTTTCCCTCCTTATGGAGGGTGTCAATGATGGTTTTCTGCACTGTCAGGTCAGCAGTCTTTCCCATGATTGTGATTCTTACTGAACCAGACTGAGAGACCATTTAAAGGCTCAGGAACCCTTTGCAGGTGTTATGGCTTAATTAGCTGATTAGAGTGGGACACTTTGAGCCTAGAATATTGCACCTTTTCACAATATTCTAATTTTCTGAGATTGTGGATTTGGGGTTTTCATGAGCTGTAAGCCATAATTATCACACATATGACAAATCACGGCTTGAACTATCTTGCTTTGCATGTAATGAGTCTATCTCATATATTAGTTTCACCTTTTAAGTTGCATTACTGAAATAAATGAACTTTTGCACTATATTCTAATTTTTTCAAGTTTCACCTGTATATGCTTTTAATGGACTGGCCTAACTCTGATGTTGTATTACATAAGTAGTTTATGTTAACATGATTACTTTCCTTTGCTAAATTTACTAACAGTGGTGTAACCTGCGCTCCTGAAATTTTCCAAGCTCTCATTGAATTGTATGTATTCTCAAACCTGGGTCCTTTTCCTTTTCCCTAAGGGTGCTCCATGTTTTTTTGGGGTGCTGCCGAACAGCAGTTAGTGTGCACAGTGACAGTTTCAGTGACCTTTAGAAAATATGAACCCAGTGCCCTGTTTATGCTTTGGACTCTTGCTGTCCCTTGAAGCTTTGTTGGCTTCCTCTGGATGGGCTGGATGCACATGCTTTAGGGCATACATCACTTGTATACATACCCATACTGGCCATAGAGCACATCGGGCATTTGCTCAGTGGGCTGGGACACCTGGGCAGGAGGGGCAGAGAAGCTGATCCATCCATTCTTCTGCTGCCACCACTGAATGCCCGCTTCTCCTCCTCTCCTTCCTGCAGACATTCAGAGGTGGCAGGAGAGGAATGGAAGGATCGGTTCCTCTATGGTTACCCAGCCACCCCTCCTACCCAACGAAGCCCCGGCCATTCTGCAGGAGGCCCATGCAGGCAACTCTATCTCTGCAACAAGCTGCCTCTGGTTTCTACCTCGGGTGCAGTGCAGCCACAGATGTGTAGCCTCATCTGGCTGGCAGACCCAATGGTCTCTCTCCCAGCTGGCAGCTCCTCCACTGGCTGACTGAGCTGTGGGTGGGGTGAGGGTGTGGTCATCTTCATTTACAAGCACAAGTGGCTGCTCTTGCTGAAGATAGTAGAGGACTGGGAGGAGCAGCATAGATGGCGACCCTGAGAGTCTTCACCTCCATTCATGTGGTGAGCGACTCCTGCAGCGATTCCCACCATCTGGGAGTAAAGGGTCCTGAGATCAGTGGAAATGACCCCAGAGAGAAGGGCCCTAAGTCAGGGGAGACCTTCATGGTTTCTTGCACAGGAAGGTTCTAGTTATGTCTCTGCTCCTATTTATCTTTTTTCTGCTGCCTCCAGGCCCCTTTCCTCTCTCCTGGTCCCCCAGTGCTCTCTCCCGGCCTCCCTCCTCCCCCACAGTACTGCTGGGTTCCCCCCTCCCCTCCCGCTGCTGCAGGGAATCTGGACTGCTCAGTTTAAAATGCCCAGGTTTATTTTTTGTCCCAGTGTGGGCCTGCTTGTTTTTTAGTTGAATGTGCTAACTCTAATATTATACTGTAACTAGTTTATATTACCCTTAAATTTTTCAGTCATTTTTTGTTCTGTACATGAGTGACATTCCCCATTAATCTCCTGAGGAAGTGGCATGTGCATGAAACACTCTGGGAAGAAACTCTCTCTTTTTTCCATCCATCACTGATATGATATACTTGGAGATACTTGTATTTTAAGTTTGTAATATATTGCCAAAGGTATTAGGACGCCTGCTTTTACACGCACATGAACTTTATTGGCATCCCAATCTTAGTCCATAGGATTCAATATTGAGTTGGCCCACCCTATGCAGCTATAATAGCATTGACTCTTCTGGGAAGGCTGTCCACAAGGTTTAGGAGTGTGTCTATGGGAATGTTTGACCATTTTTCCAGAAGCGCATTTATAAGGTCAGGCACTGATGTCGGACGTGAAGGCCTGGATCGAAGTCTCTTCTCTAATTCATCCCAAAGGTGTTCTATTGGGTTCAGGTCAGGACTCTGTGCAGACCAATCAAGTTTCTCCACCTCATACTCACTCATCCATGTCTTTATGGACCTTGCTTTGTGCACTGGTGCGCAGTCATGATGGAACAAGAAGGGGCCATCCCCAAACTGTTCCCACAAAGTTGGGAGCATGAAATTGTCCAAAATGTCTTGGTTTGCTGATGCCTTAAAAGTTCCCTTCACTGGAATTAAGGGGCCGGGTCCAACCCCTGAAAAACAACCCCACACCATAACCCCCCACCCCCTTCCACCAAACTTTACACTTGGCACAATGCAGTCAGGCAAGTATCATTCTCCTGGCAACCACCAAACTCAGACATGTCCATCAGATTACCAGACAGAGTCAAGACCTTGAGAACGCCCGATGGGAGGGGCGAAACGCATTGACGTATTTCCGGTCTGCGTCTGACGTAATTTCCGGTGAGTGGAGCGCATGCTGAGCGGTGCGTTCCAGCGGCCATCTTTGGGAACTGTGCTGGTCTCTGTGTGGATCCTCTGCTTTATCCTGTGGCTGTGATGTAGGATTCCTGAATTAGGAGGCTGTAAAGTGCTCATTTTCCATTTGGAGGCCATGGTTTCAATAAATGTGCTTTTTAAAGTTGCTGACATGTGAGTGGCCTTAATCTTTGCTTTTAATTATATTGTTGATTAGCAATATTACACTATTTGAGATTTTTTTTTCTCTCGGTTGAACGGTGGAGCCTATTCTGATGGTGAAGAATTCCATAGAGTGGATGCTAAAGAGGGTTTAGGATCCATTTAAAATTCCTAAAGGCTTCTCATTCACCAATATCTGGTGAGTACATTTGATGTTGGTTTTCACGGGTGGAAGGTGGAAGCTTCTTTACATTTGAAGAATTTTGGAAATTTCTATTTTCATTATACACTGACTTTTGGTGTTTATTATTATTGGGGACATTCACTATTAATTTATGGTTTATGATATATTTATTAGTATTGTTCACTTTATGTAAAAATGTTTTATTTCATTTAGAGGTCTATTTTTGCGCTGTTTATGTATATTTGGTATTATTTGTGTTTTTCACATTGCACAGCGGAAGTTTAGACTTTGTCATTTTTTATTGGCGCAGAAATAGTTGTCACTTTATTTAAGATTTAGTTCTGCCCCTCCCATCACTACAACTCCTACAACCACATCAGTTTATTAAGAAAATGCAAAGTGTTCTCAGAAGGGCGCCTTTGCTGAGGGAGTGACCTCCTATGCAGTAGGGCAGCTGCTCGACATGAAATCCAGAATGCAGTGAAAATCACTGTAGTAGCGTGACTGCTACAGTGATTTCCAGCTTCCAAAAGGATTAGATGACCAAGTGAGAGATGACCTGTGTTCACTATGCAATTAGGCAGCCACTGGGAATGGCACCTGGGAGACAGGTGATCACTGTCATAGTGGTGCCTACAACAGTGATTTCCAGCTTCCACAAGGATAAAGCAGGTATGGCACATACATACTTACACTGACATACCAATGTAATGAGATGGGAAGGAGGGACACCCTTTAGGAACAAAGTGTATAAGCAAAGGACACATCCCCTGCAATGCCGCCAGTTATGTGACCCATGAAGAATTATGAAGGCCCAGGAAGCAAAAAATTGCTACCTAAATCCAAAAGTGCTTGTTTCATCACAATGTGCCCTTTTATACTGTTTTTTTTAAACACTGATGTGATAATAAAAAGGCTTGTGAAAGGATTAGTGTAGTGTAAAACGTTTGGTAGTTAGCTTTTATTATAAAGGTCTACGCATCTGTCCAAAATGAGGGACAACTGAGAAGGAGAGAGGGACAGAGGGATTTGGCTCCTAATGAGGGAGTTTGGGGAGGTATGCATTGGTTCACGTTGGATGAATGTAGGTGTGCAAGTTGGGGGTCTTTTAGACCCTGCATGTCTCAATCAAGAGAACCTGTCACCAAAAAATTAATCACATTAGTGATGAAAAAAGAAGGTAAGTAAACAAATTTATTTTTTGTAAAAAAATAGTTACA